TTGCTGTTGTTACTGATATTAACTGATATTACTGATATTAACTCTTTGTATCTTTATTTTTATGTGGAAATTGTTCAGTTTGGTTATGTAGTTTTTAATATGTTTTATTTATTTTTATGACTACTTTGCTATATTTGTAATTATGTAAATCTTTTCATATTATAAGCTGCCTTGAGCATTGTTTTAACTGTGGAAATGCAGCATACAAATAAAATGATGATGATAAGTTTATTTAAACAGAATTCATCTTCCCTTAACCTATGTCCATCTAATTATCAACCTTCCTTTATTCCAGGAATTGAGAACCCCCGGATGGCTGGAGTAGATGGAAGTTGGAGTTCAACATCTGGAGGACCACAGGTTCCTCATCTCTCGTTTGTTTATTTGTTCAGTAAGGCAAGCCTTGGCTGTAACCTTATTTCTGGCATTTGGTCATGTGGCCAGCGTGACTAAGCCTCTTCTGGCGAACCAGAGCAGCACACGGAAACACCTTTTACCTTCCCGCCGGAGCGGTACCTATTTATCTACTTGTACTTTTTTTGGCATGCTTTCGAACTGCTAGGTTGGCAGGAGCAGGGACCAAGCAATGGGAGCTCACCCCGTCATGGGGATTCGAACTGCCAACCTTCTGATTGGCAAGTCCTAGACACTGTGGTTCAACCCACAGTACCAGCCCCGTCCCTCTACTATGTGTGATGCTCCCATACAAAACCTGGTAGTGTTTTCCAAGGTAAGGTTCATACCCATTATTGTAGCAGGGTTGGATGGATGTAGGTGTGACTCTCTTAAACCCAATTAGTAGGGGTTAATCTAAACCCCTAATTTTTAACAGGGACACTTTTCGGCTTAGATATACTGGCGCTAGCACAGGGGTAGAGGCACAGGAAATGTGTGTGTTTTTAACTTCCTTTCCCTCAGTATGAACAGCCACAAAAGCTTTCTCAGAACACTTCTTGATGTACCTCAGCTGCTGACATTGATCTTTCTCTTGTTCTGTGTGTGACTGGCTTATGTAATAATCAGAGGGCTCTGCCAAAGGTGAGATCCACACCATATATTAAAAGCACTTTTATATCACTTTAAGCCAGGCATAGGCAAACTTGGCCCTCCAGCTGTTTTGGGATTACAACTTCCATCATCCCTAGCTAACAGGACCAGTGGTCAGGGATTATGGGAATTGTACTCCCAAAACATCTGGAGGGCCGAGTTTGCCTATGCCTGCTTTAAGCAGTCATTGTTTCCCCCAAAGAATCCTGGAAACAAGAGTTTATTTATCACAGAGCTACAGTTTCCAGCACCCCTTTGCTGTTTACACTACTGGAGAGAAATTTAAAGACCCCTTTGCCAAGATCTGCACTTTGGGGGAAATGACTAATATGTATTTGGAATTCCTTGGGATCAGAAGCTATGCTGGAGGAGACCAGGCAGAATGTTCCTGGAGGCTGGATTTGGCTGTCTACCTGGCTATCTGCACTCCAACCCTAAACCTACTCTAAACATTTCCCATTAAAACCACCTTATGTTCCACCCACCCATATTTATCAAGTTTTCACCAGACATCCTACACTCACTCTGACGCTCTGCCTCAGATACAGTAGCACTGTCCTTACACAGCCATCCAAATGATTAAATGAGTCATCTTATGCATATTCAGTCGTCACCATTTGGTTAGCATTAATTTTTTTCCAAATATTTGGAATTAAAAGATTGTTTTATCACACCAATAGGTGTGTGAAGTTTTCATATTAAATTAGCATATACAAATTAATAAGGGATAAGGCACTTTCAAATCACTTTCTCCATATTAAATCACTAGCTTGATTCCAGTTCCTTCAGATTGACCAGTTTGAGGATAACTGGCTAAGTTATGCAAAGAAGGTTAAAATAATTATTGGGGGGGGAGAGAAGACACACACACAATAAATACGGGTTATTTTAATGAAAGAAACCTATTATCATCAGCATCAATCTTGCAAAAAATAAACTGGATTCTTTTCATAGTTCTGAACACCAGATTTTAATAGTTTTTTAAACAAAAATACAGAGACCATTATGTAGCAAACCACTGTCCTTAACAATATGCAACATCATTCCTACCTTGTTTTAATTCTAGTTTGTCAGTAATACTTTACTCATTATGTTTACATAATTCCAATAATTATAAACACAATGCTGCCATCTTAAAACTGCTTTTCTATAAATTGTAGAGAACATACAGAATTACAAAGTTATTGTGTTTTATCAAAATATACAAAGCCCTCAAACATAACAGAAGCTATTATTTCCCATATTAATTGCACAATTATAGAAAATTATAAAATTATCACTATGTATAAATATTACACATTATTGGCTTTGGTTTAGAATCATTCGCATACATGTCATTTGAGAAAATGTCATAATTTACTTATTTGAAATACCTCATGAAAATTATATTTCCTAATTGCAACCGTCTCATACCAAAGCAACCCAGGGCACAATTAACGTCCTTCAATACTGGTTTCAGTTGTGTGAAATAGTTATTTTCTGTGTATTGTCCCCTAAAACAAGCAGGTAAGTGTATTAGTAGTTCTCTATGCTTGGTGGAGCTGAGAATCTAAATACTAATATACAAGGTCAGTGTCAAGTGTGGTATAATGGATATTCTTTAGAACATTCCTGTTCTATGAAATGTAGACTATAAGGTTGTATCACTAAGCAGCTTGTGCCATTGCACAAGGATTTTTCCTATATCCTCCGCCGCCACCCCCAAATCTGTTCTAGGTTTCCCTCCAACCCTCCAGAGATTTTGGGGCAGCATGGGGCACATGTAGCTGTGGGGAACCCCTTAGCACTAGTGTTAATGCAAATCAAATCAAATCAAATCAAATATCTTTAATACGGTCAATGACCAGTGTTAATGCTTAAAGGATAAGGACCCTGTGGTTGCATACAGCCCTGTGGGCTTCTACTGTCTTAGAATCTGAAATGTATTTATTTCCCTTTTTGTATCCCTACAGGACAATAAAGCTGGCCAGAAGCCAGTGGAGGGGTTGTTAGAAGCTGAGCAAGTGCCACTCTGCTTTCAGAGTTGCCTGTTAGCAGGTGGTACTTATGCTCCTAAAGGCCACCCATATGCCTAGGCAAAATGCTATGGGTGTGGATGACCTGTCAGCAGTGGGGGGGGGGGGGAGAGTGTAGGGGAAAACAGAATGTTTCAGGGGTGTGTCAAGGGTATCTCTTTACCCTAGCCCAGGCAAGGCCAAACTTGGCCCTCCAGCTGTTTTGGGACTACAATTCCCATAATCCCTGACCACTGGTCCTGTTAGCTAGGGATGATGGGAGTTGTAATCCCGAAACAGCTGGAGGGCCCAGTTTGGCCATGCCTACCTTAGCTTGTGGCACCTGAGACATGTGTTTTCAAGGCCCATCCTATTCCTGTGATTGGAATCTGTTTTAACTTTTTAATTTTAAATAGTTGTAACCTGCTGGTGAAGGATGGGTAATAAATTTGATGATGATAAGGATATGTTTGCAGAGGCTGTGGAGGTCCTAAGCCCCCTCATTTCCCTGGCATCTCCTTGAAAAGAACCCAAAACTACACCAGCCCTGGTGCTGACATAACAATTTCCCTCCATTAGCATCAATGGGGAGGAATAGCAATTAAAAATGGAATAATAAAAAGAGAGAATAAACATTGCTAGCCCCAGCATGGTCACAGCTAGCTGGCTGGGCTTCAGATGTGGCTCTACCACAGAATCTCTTTACCACCATAGGATTGTTCTCTTAAAGGTCTGTCATTCTTTTTCCTGACATAATATATTTCATAAAATTCTTGTCTTCCTGAATATTTCTCTTGAGACCGTGGCTCCTTTTTATTTATTTCCCTATCAACCCTATTATTAATTTGTAGCCCTAGAGGCCTTACCAGTGATGTGAGGAAAACACAACCCATCTCCCCCAAACAAGATATTTCTACTATTCTTAAGACAGCTCACCCTCCCCTTCATATTACCTAATATGCAGTGCCATCAAGCCTGATCAAATTAAATAAAAGTGCATAACTAATGGAAAAGACCAAATATTTTCTTAATAGGGTGGATGTTAATTGTCTGCTGAAGAATTTTCCAAGACTTGTTCCCTCTGTTTCTAAAGTTCTGAGGCAAATACTGATCCTTTCGTAGCCTATTTGGCCCCATCCATGCCAAGAGGGAGGTATCAGCATGGATAGGGGAGCTCCAAGGTTTGCAGAAGTACAAACAAAGCAGAAATAGAGGGGGAAACCAAAACAGCCAGTTGAGGAATTGAGTGCATTCAGTGGCCATGGAATGTTAAATGACAATTATGACACAAAAAACTGGGTGGTAGCAGAAATGGAATATGGTATCTTAGAGGAGGACAGCTGATTGAACTCTAAGCAGTAAAACATTTTGTTGCAGGGCTTTTGCCAGGCATTGGGGAAGAAAGGAATAGCTGTATATAGGAGATGTGCATGGATTTTCACATGAAAGTTATAGACTGACTGCTGTTGTATACACACGTGGGAGGGAGGGAAGAGGGTTCAGCCCTATGGACTGTTTGCCTTCTCTAGCTGTGTGATCAAGCTATCCACCTGATAGCACTAATATATAACAAGCCTGTGACACACTTGCAGTACACTCTTAATAACATAGTGATTTATTAGAATCCATCCTCACATATATGAGAATGAATGAATGGTTCAGACTCTTAATAAACTAGTCATAATCCACCTCAATGGGAAATCATTTAAAATATACTAACATGTTTAAATTAGGCATATTTTTTCTTCTATGAGACATAAATGTCTACTTCTATAAAATTCTCATTTTAGCTTTTTCTGGCACATTTTTTCATGTAATATATTAAATATATTTAAATGCAATACCTCAAGTTTTAGAACTTCCATAAGTCTAGACTATTATTATTGTCTATTAATTAAGTACTCGTACTTCTGGTCTCTCTTCTTTCTGTTTTCTTTGCCTGTTGTGTGCTTTTCTTACTCAAAGTCCAACATCTGATGCATAATTCTGAATGCTAGTTGCCTCATGCCCATCTGCATCAATTGCATTTTGACTTAGTAAAGGTTTAGCTGTTTCCTGCCCATCTGAGTCAATGAAGTGTTGACTTGCAAATGGCTTAGTGCTTTCATGAAATGGATAATCTTTTCTATCCTCTTGCTTGGAGCTTTTGAACAAATGTTTCTTCTGGTGCATTCCAAGGGCTGCAGCTGTCTTGCAAACTTTTGGGCACTGAAAACAGGCATATCCCTTCCCGCTATGCTCACGTTTATGCTTTTGCTCATGATTCTTTTTGGTAGAAAGGTACAAGAAGCTCTGGAAGCAAAACTGACAGTGGTAGCGCTTTTCACCTGTGTGGATTCGCTCATGTATTTTGAGTGTTTCATTTAGAGTGAATGCCTTGTTGCAGTACTGACAGACAAACTCCTTGACCTTTGAGTGGGTGTGTTCATGCTTCTGCAAGTTTCCTGCTACTGAAAACCTCTTCCCACAGGTTTTGCAAGGGTAGGGCTTCTCTCCTGTATGACATCGCATATGCATCCTTAGAGCAGATGGGCTCTGGAACCCCTTTTGGCATACCTCACAAATATAGGACCCAGAAGCAGTTCTCTCCCAGTGTAAATGTTCATTGGCTCCTTCAGTAGAAGAGCTCTCTCTTTTACAGAGTTCACAGGGAAGACTCGGCATTCCGCCATCATCTTCCTGATTAGGGACCTTTTCTTCAGGAATGTTCCTAAGTGCATAACTTGTGACGCATGGCTTTTCACTTTCTCTGTAGGAATTTCTGCTTTTGTACTTCTCTCTCCATTTTGCCTTTCTCATTTTCCTTAGTTGTTTAGATTTCTTTTTTGGTTTGTAATTGTAATATGGGCGCCACGGTTTATCATTGGAGTCATGGTCGCTTACATCATCACACATTTCATTGAGTTCAATGTAGTCTGGTCGACAAACTCGAGGTGTACTTCTCTCTCGCTTTTCTCGTTCTGCAGCCTGAGTTGCATGATCTTCTCTGGATTCATATTTAGGTCTCCTTCCTTTTTTGTAAAACAATTTTGACCCCAAAATTTGTCTTTTCACAATGGCTTCATTCCCAATTTTAACTGTTATTTGACACAGAGGAGCCACATTGCTATCGGCAGATGTTCCTGGCAATGCAGGTTTTGCAATGTAGGTTTCAGTCTTACTTGAAGGTTCAAAGATACCAGTGGGTCTGTCAGAGATTTCTGTATTTGTCATATATTTTAATTCCTCCGATGTCTCTTCTTTGTCATACAGCGGTACTTTTTTCTTTTCCTTATTGCTTCTTGTCCTACCATTGCTTTTGAGATCATCTGACCCATGTATGTGGTCATTGCTTGCCCCTTGGCTGGCCGTAGTATCTGGGGTTGCTATAATGCTGCTTCCTATTGCATTGACAGAGTTACTGTGCATTATTACAGATGAAACTCTACCCTGGTGCACTATTACAGGGGATGCTGAATTATTGTAGTTAATAACAGAGGTTGGATTTTCATTGACATTGCTACTACTAAACGTTTGAAGAGAGTAATCATATTCCTGAGGACCAGAGTTAAGTTCTGTGAAAGGCAATGGCCTTTCTGTAGTATAAGTATTATTTTTAAGGTCTGATTCTGATGTACCACATTCCCAGGAAGAACTATTTGGAGGGTTCACAGGTGCTGCCCTTGCATCACTACATGAAGATGTTTCCAAGGAGACACTTGTGTTTGAAAAATTCAATTCAGAAGTGACAGTATTCTGAATGATGCAGGTACTAGAAGGTATTTCATTAACTTGCACATTTGCTTGCACACTTTCATATGGTGAGTTTCCATAACTTTTATACGGCGCTCTTTTGCATTTCATAGGCAAAAGCCTATAAAGTTTGTAAGGATATACACTTGGCTTCAAGCCGCCATTAGCCGTTTTCTTATTAACTCCAAGCCGATGGTCAATTGCATGGAAAGATTTCTGGTGGTTTTTCAGTATGTAATATGTCATAAAGGTCTCAAGGCAGAAGATACACTGATACCGCCTTTCTCCTGTGTGCCAGATTTCGTGTCTGGTACGGTATTCTGCCAATGCAAATACTTTGTTGCAGTAATGGCAAGGGTAAGTCCTTCTCCACGAATGAACATTTGAATGTCTTCGGAGGCTAGACAAGGTGACATAGGTCCGTTTGCAGACATTGCAAGTATAAAGTATTTGTCCATCAACGACGTTAACAAAGTGGTCCGTTTCTGGCATGGTGGAGTTTGTGACAGAATAATCAGGTAGATTATTTTCTGTCATTGCAGGCTCTAGGTTCACATATGAGGTGCCAGTTTTCCCATTAGAAGTTGCAAAATTATCTAAACAACTCTGCTCATTTTCACTTGGAGCACACAAGCTGCCCAATTCCCTGCATACTTGCTCATGTGTCTCTAGTCCAGTAGCACTTTCAAATTGTTTGCTGCAGTACCTGCAGACTAAAGGTTCTTGGGGCTGTGGGTGAAGTTGAAGATGAGTGCAGAACTGAGTCCCATCATTAAGTGGTTTGGTGCAACAGTCATAGACACGTGGAATGACTGTGACTACTGATCCAGAAATGTGATCTGATTTATTTTCATCTTCCTTCGAAGGGAGGACGGTATTTGGGTGGGATTTATCAAAAGAAATTGTGTGATCGTTTACTGCTTTGTGGTGACCTTCCGCACTGGTTCCTTTGTGGTTTGATCCCTTTGCTGCAGGTACTTCACTGTCATGGGAGTTATAAGTAGCCTTTGGCATACTATATGTTTGAATTACGGATTCAGCCAGAGGCATTGACTGGACAGCTTCAGGTTCTTCTTCACCCATTTTACAAGCGGCGCTATTTTCATTGTTATAAAAGGAATTTCGTTGAAAAGAATCAAAACCTGTAGTAACAGCATAGGAATGTTCCGCTAATGTGCTGGCTGGTTCCACATCTTTGCAAGTCCCATTCCTATCCTGACCATTGCTGGGTGCTTTATTTACTTCTGGATTTTTTTTAAAACTTGCTCTCAGATCAAGAGGAGAAAACAAATTATTACTATTTTCTGTCTCAAAAATTGAGTATGCATTTGTGATTCTTGGTCCATTTGTGATAGCTGAATCGTCTTGTCTTTTTTCTTCTTTTACTTCGCCCTTTTCACTATTGCAAAATGAATATGGGCAAGGAGAATTTGAAGGCCCTTTTTCCATAAGATCTTCTAGAAAGGATATTCCCAGTTTTTTCCCTGCAGCTGCAAGGTCTAGGACAGTCTCCTGCTTTTTAACAACTACAGTGGAACTGTAGATATAATTGAGTATTTCTGTGAACACTTCAGCCTTGAGGTCGTTTAGCTCTAGTACATGTCCAGAAATACATGCAGCACGACTCAAAAATATATTTTTGAAATAAAGGCTTGAAGCAGCCAAGACGTTGCTGTGGGCTTTAAATTTGGTGTCTTCCACAATTATAGTAACATCACATAAAACACCCCGATTGCGTTGTTCATTAAGGATGGAAAGGACTGTGTCACTGTGGAAGTTGTCTTTGAGATCCTTTAAGTGGGACATGATGGTCAGCTGTATAAAATAAAAAGAGACAAAAAAGGTAACTGGATCAAAAAGCAATATCATGTGCTGTTCAGTGACATCTCAATGCTTTATCTGACAACATTGCTCTTTCAAAAGGCTATTGCTCTATTCAATCTATCAGGATAATAAAATCATTTTCTCTAATAAAGAACTTGGTGGTTCTATATGCTAACCAGCAGGTCAGTGAAAATGTAGACAGAACAAGAGTTTCTGCATACTCACATGACTCCTCAGTTTTGCAGGAAAAAATATTTTTTATTCTTTAAAGACACTTCTATGGGGAGGATTGGAGAGGAAATGCTTCTTCCATTCTTAATTTACTCTCCTCCAATATCTCTTCAAAGGGGCAGGCAGAGACCCTAATAGCTTAAAGTAGTCTAGCTTAAAGTAGTCTTTGACAACCCAATGGAGCAATCTAAAAATGAAGGTGAAGGCAAATAAATTTAAAAGGGGAATGAATGGATTTTAAGCTCCCCCTAATGGATACTGTGCACAGTATTTTCTTAATTTTTTAATATCCTCATTATAGGTGTGCCCCCCATTTACGTGCAATCAACTCACACACAACCATGTATACACACGGCGCCACTAAATAAGTAATTCAAACCCGGAAATGGCGGGGGGGAGCTGGAGAGTCCCTGTGGCTCATGAGGAGAACCTCCGCAGAGCCCAAGAGGATGTAAGTGAAGGCGAAGGAAGCCCCTAAGAGACCAGAGGTGTAGCGGGGCTTTGTTTATGCTGCTAAGCCTCCCCGCCTAACAGCCACCGCCGCCTTTCAATGCATCCTCCAGTCTCCGGCTGGTCCCAGAGCTTCAGTTCTAGTTGTGGATAATTTTGGTGCAATTCTTCTTTGTACCTAGCTCCCCACTTCACGTGATTTCACTTATGTGCACAGGGGCTTGGAACGTAGCCCCCACGTAAGTGGAGGGACACCTGTAGTAATTTCATTTATGAATCACTTTATGTGAAGCATCTCAAAGTAATTTCAGCAATGCAATAAAACATATATAAACAGTTGCATATATAAAAACAATTACAGATATGAAAATGGTTAAAACAATTTACATAGATAAAAGTTTCAGATCCAGTACAGATATTGACTGCAGGGTAAGCAGGACGTCTGCTTCGAAAGCTTTCCCCCTTTGTTGTGTTGTAGTAGTACTGTGCAGTTTTCTCTTCCGACTTAGAAAGGTTGTGCTCAGCACATCATTGCCAACTTGTTCAGTTTAAATATTTTGATAATCTCAGGATCATGGATTTGAGCCCCATGTTGGACAAAAGATTCCTGCATTGGACTAGATTACCCTCATGGTTGCTTCCAACTGTACAATTCTATGATTCCATGATCACTGTACAATGACAACACCGGGCAGGATGGAAGGAGGCACAGAAGAGGCAAAGTGCATTGGGGAGGCAAGCACATGAAAAAGTACCTTTCCTTCCAGTAATCACAGGGGTCCGGCTGTGGTCAGGGGGTGGGGGTAATATATCTACCAGAGAGATCTACTCTCCCTTTGACATCAACTATGTCGCTAAAGATGACTCTCAGCGCAAACCTAGGCACATTTACTCTGAAATAAGTCTCACTGAATTAAATGAGACACACTCCCAGGTAAATGTGTATGAGCGTACCCTAAACTATTCAGGTTTCTTCCCAGGTAAGTGGGTATAGAATTACAGTTTACCATCCTTTGCAGCAAAGAGCAAATATCTTGTTCCCCCACTGCAAACATTCCCTCTGAATGCACCCCTTCACTTCCGTAACCTCTTCTAGAAAGACATATTTCATATGCAACAAAGGGAGTAAATACAGATAAACTGAGTTTTCTTCCACAGTGATTTGATGGTCCTTCATTTTCATTATGGTTAATAATAATAATAATATATTATTTGTATCCTCTCTATCCGGCTGGCTTGAATCTTGTGCACCAAATTCTTTAAAAAACCCCCACCATGGTTCCAAGTTTTTATGGATACAAAGCTTATCTTAACCATCTCTGTCAGAGACTGAGAAGCCAAATTATCACAAGACAGTGTAATAAGCTTTAAACAGGCCTGATCTCTAATTGCCCTGTTCCAATTAAAGGCCTAGAAGTCCTGGTGAGGAAACTGAAACAGCTGAGCAATCAAAATCCATAGGATTGTTAGAGCCTGTGAAAACAAAAACTGCACTAAATGAGACGGTTTCAATTAACCCAGAGACAGAGAGGGAAGCACTTGTGTATTAGGACTTGCGGTAGAGGAGCATTCAGACTGAATGTTTGCAATTGAAAGACAGGTTATTTGCTTTTGCTGCAAAGGATGGCACACTGAGGCTACAATCCTTTACCCACTTACCTGAGAGTAAAACTTTTGAACTCAATTGGGCTTACTTTTGAATATACATGTATAGGCCTGGACTTTGAAAGACTTAAATTCTATTTTGTGTAGGCAAAAGCAGTCAGGGAGTGGTAATGGAAGATGTACATTAAGAACTTTTATGCCCAGTCCTGGAAAACAAGACAAGTATTAAATGGCAATTTCGAAAGCAAAGAAGCTGTGTATATACTTAGATAAAAAAGACCATTGTAGTTTAAATATACGGGTTAATTTTTTGGCACTACCTATACAGTATCTTTATATGTTGTTATTAAAACTATATTAAGATGCTAGCTTTAAAATATAAAACTATTTTGAAATGCATTTGGCAAAGGTCAGCAGTAAAATCAGTGGCACCCCCCCAACACACATATAGCTTAAGAGGAACTGTGAAATACAGTCTTATCAGAACTGCAAATGGACAAATTTCATAGCATTTTGCAAGTACAGTTTACAAGGTGCATAACTCAAAATCAATCATTTATGTAATCTTTATTGGATAATAAATTTAGGGCCATATTCTGAAATTTGAAGAAAAAAACATCATCCACACATATAAAACCAACTGGACTACTTTTTGTAGAAAATTGTATCTGCACCATTATGTTGGCCATTAAAAATAATAAATCAAAACTCAGTGGATGTATCCAGATATATGCTGACGCTAAAGTTGTTCTCCCTCTTTCATATCCATAGATCTCAAATATTAACACAGAAAAGGAAATGTTAGTTCACAGTAATCAGAAAGTTACTGACCTGAAATTTGCATTAGTTAACATAGCTCTGGTTGGTCCCAAATATGGAAACTTACACAATTATGGAGCTGGATGTACAAGAAAAGATCTAGAACATAAAAAGTACTGACAAGACTCCTGCTTCAGGCAAGCAGCCACAACCCTACAGATAACACTGTATTAGCAACTGTTCTTCCTGTAGACAAGGTCTGAGATTACGTCAGCTTTGCTCATGTGATACGGAATTAGAAGCACAAGCTTCTGACGTCTAAAGTAGATTTCACAACTGAAGCTATTGATAGGGGTTATTTTTCAAGTCCAGAAATACATGTTGTCAACTTTTCCTCTGGATGTTCATATTGACAAAACATTACTGGGCTGATCTCCTGCCCACTCACTCCTGTGGACGATGCAGCACATGCTTTTCAAAGGAAATATGGCATAACATGTTGGGAACCCAACTGAGTTAGGAGGAGGAGTTTGGGGCAATGATGTAGTGGAGCAGGGATGGACAGGGACGAAGTAATGCTATTTATTTCACAGCTGAGATTATGGGGTCATCTCCTGGGGTGCTATTTACGAGTCCTCTGCATGACAACTAAATAAGGATTTTCCCAGAGAGAAACCCAACTAAAAAATATGGAGCCCTCCATTGCTTATGCTACTTTTAAAACCACTCTGTACACCTATTATGAGCCATAGACGCTGTACTAATAACTGAACTGAAAGCAGTAATCATTTTTGTTGTAGCTGCTGTTGACACAAGAACTAGTCAATCAGCTGTACGTTCAACATTTCAGCAAAATAGCTTTCCCCTCCTTCAGATCTGGAGAAGGTTGTAACGTATTTCTGACCAAAATGTGTTGAGCAGACTCCCATTGCAACCTAACCCCTAGAAAGATGTATGTTTTGAATTCTCCTCAATTCCATGAAACTCTATATGAAATCCCACCCCACCCCCACTCGCCAATTATTCAGCATATCTTCTGTTTGTCTGTGTCTCATAACATATTCTCTGTCTCCTGCATACATAACCACAAGATGGAGCTAGGTACAAAGAAGAATTGCAGCAAACTAGCGGAAAGAAAAATTCCTGACGTAATTTCAATAATGTGAATGAGCTATTCATAAATAAGCTGTTAGCTATTAGCGGCTTATGATTAATAAACAACACATTTTATTTTACCCTTAGCATCAGCATCTTTTATTTACTGAATTTGTTGTGCAACTAGAAATTATCTTCACATTTCTTTAACATGGTGTTTCCTGCTTATGGATAATTGCTGTCAAGCAATAATTTAGACCCAAGGCTGTGTGTCTGTTTCAATACAGCTATTTCCCAAAATTATCCTCAAATCATTATCAATATCCCATTCAGCGTTTAATATGGCTAAAATATCTTTTTGTTTTTATTTTAATTGGAAAAAAATAGTCCTAGACTGAAAGAAGTCATGGTCGCCATGTTTGTTGTGGGCATGTGGGCTGACAGTATAGTGGCAAATCAAAGTGTAGGGATTAGCATATTGCACACGTCATGACAACAATCATGGGGCTGTGTGTCAGTAACCATATAATATCTGTTGTTCTGCAGTTGGCTGAGACATCGTTGTTATCTCTTTATATGTGAAGCAGCTTTAGAAATTGTGGGAGGCAATGGTATATCACATCTCACTTCTTCTGTAATAGGGCACAAGGATTGAGCACCAGTCTAGATCCTTAAAAGAGGCTAGCTTTTGATCTGTTTATATTTCTCTAATATTACAGCCCTGACAAGAACCCAAACCACAATTAACACCACTGGGTATTTAATGTACATACAAAAGAACACAGCCAAGCTTAGAATAACCCAAGCAAGGTCTTGGAAAAGTAGGCTTTTGTCTTATAATTTGAAATGTATTTGTTTGCTGCCTGCATGCGTTTGCTTAGAAAGGTATTTGCTGCTATTTGGTGCATGATCCAGTTAAACACTTTGAAGTCCCTTGTTTTCAAGCACATGCTTAATCTCTTCTGCTGAAATCCATGTGATTCAAAAGAGCTTTTGACTGGATCATGTCCTATGTTAGTTTTCTTGCACTTAAAAAAAGGATATTGGCTAAGCATTTACAGGCTTAATTATTATTATAATGCACACAGAGAATTTACACACACACACACACACAGAGAGAGAGAGAGAGAGAGAGAGAGAGATGAACTATGACCTGGGAGACCAGGGTTCAAATCTCCGCTCAGCTATGAAGCCGACTGGGTGACCTTGGGCCAGTCACTGCCTCTCAGCCGAACCTACCTCACAGGGTTGTTTTGAGGATAAAATGGGGAGGAGAACCATGTGCAACACCTTGAGCTCCTTGGGAGAAAAGGCGGTATATAATTAATTAATTAAATAAATAATAAACATCTATACATACCTATACACACACACAAAATGTAATTTGCATGCCTGCAAATGATGCTGCAAAGAAAATGAAGCGCTCCCAAAGACAGAGATAATATCTGTAAAAGAAATACGTACATTATGAAATGCGATATAATTGAAAAGGTGCTACAATTAAAATGTCAGTGATGCATACTGAGTTTGCAAATGACAGGCACAAAATCAAGGGCACACGTGCCACTATTTCCTGAAACACTCCACAAATGATACCTATTTTGAGCTGCTGTCCTGCCTTTGTGCCTGAATGGTCAGCACTCATCAGCTCAAGCTGCCGAGGCCTGCAGTCGCTGTTGGCACACGCTCAGAACTTGATTACTTTAATCACTTACTAGGATTCGGCCAGGGAGACCCAGGCTCAAATATTTTCTCAGGCATTAAGCTAAACTAGGTGACTGTGGATCAGTCACTACGTCTCAGCCTAACCTCGTTTCCGATACCCTCAGATGTGCAGGGAATGGTGGCCCAGGAAAGTGCTTTTTCGGTGGCAGCCCCTAAATTGTGGTTTCAAAAGAATACAGGTCTACTTCTCTGCTGAGTCATTTCCCCTTCTACTTCTGTCTTCTTGCAGCAGCTCTTCTTGCAAAGGACCAGAGCTGCAATTGCAAGCTTTGCACTGCATCAAAGCTCTTTCCCCTCTCAACTGAGCAGGCAATCAGGGCTAGGTCCCTGGGACTTGTTCTGCTGCCGCCTGCGCTACAGTTGTCAAGAGACACTGCAAGCATGCGCATGCACAAAATAAGAACTTTGAAAAAAGAATCCTAAATTGCGTTTCTCTCTGTTAATTATAGAGAAAAAGTCATGTTTAGTGGGCCAAAGACTGCTTGAGTTGATGGAGGCTTGCACATCATGATGATAGTTTGTAGTTCGAAATATATATCTCTTACAAAAACTCAGAACAATTAAGGGAATTAAGGAGCTAAAATTTTTTTCTAAATGTTGACTGATTCAGTATACCTTTGGCAGTCTTACAGTTATGTGTTAACTGTAGTATACAGTATGGCATACTTCCTAAAGCAGGAGTGAGAAATGTAGGTCAAATGGTTTTGGGGACTCTCACCAAGCTATACGTCCCCCTGAACCACACAAACTCTACCCAGGACACACCCCTCACCCATCCTCCTTTGCATCCTCCCTGCCTCTGGCCCCACCCACCACTGGCATGTGACCTCCAGGAGATTCCCCCAAAGGGAACGTGACTCTTGGGCTGAATCCTCCACCACACCTGAGGACCTCAAGCTAGCTTAGGGTGTTCCGAACAGACCATGTGGCACACACAGCTCTGTCATCCAACAGATGGGATTGCTTGAGAGCTGCCACCCTCCACAACACTCTAGCAGCTGCTGCCTGAGGCAGTCACCTGACTCTAGCTAATAGGAGGGCCGGCTCTGTTAGTGGTAGAGCACATGCAGAAGGTCCTATGTTCAGCATCCACTTAAAGGATCAGGCAGAAGTAGACCTGTGCTGTGCAGCTTCATGTGAGAATAACCAAGAGCAACCAAAGCTTCACACCACAAATGTGCATCAAACGCATACAAATCAAACTTATTCGAGGCAATGAAGGAGTGGCTGACTGCATGGGTATTCTTTTGAGATGCATGCTGGTTTTTCTGATTGCTGGGGTCATGCAAGAGGCCATGAGCACAGTGGGCCAGCGCAATACATTCTTGCTGGACCAGTAGGTGCCTGCCTCTATTCCACATATAGATGTGGACCAGACTGCCAGTTACTTCAAAACTGGTGGCAGGACAGCATCTTCCACTGCAACTGGGGGCAGTTTAGGGGGCACGGGACAGGTTGCACACACAGATCTGCCTTCCAATACTTCATTGCTGCTTGCTAACTGCTCCACTAGGCAGTTGGCAAATGCTGCAGTGCAGCAGCGATGGTGCCAGCATGTGCAATTTGAGCAGAGCCACACATTCACATGTGCAATGGCTGCTGGGTGCGTGGAGCTTGTACTGGTAGCCTCACAGTCTGCTTGCTTAGTCTGGGCTTTTTTCAAGCCACTGGAAGAAGGTGACGTAGCCAGACAGCTAAAGAAGCCAGAATGAGCAAGCAGAATCACCACCAGCTCATGGGAATTAGGGTGGCTGCTACCATATCGCCCAGCCCAGTATCTACCACCTGAGGCAGCCGCCTCCCTTTGCCTAGTGGTAGGGTTGACCGTGTGAGCTTCCCAAAGCATCTTGCCGGCCATGGCTGGAGGCAAAAAGCTGGTATTGATGGGCTCTTGTTTGTTACAGCTATGCAATTTTCAATGTTCTTTTCCTTCTGAGTCTGCTGATTATAGTAAGAAAATTGCTTGGAAAATTACATAAAAAGTGAGATAGTTCCCCTAATCAATGGTTTTTATGTTTAACACTGAGCAATGGATTTTTTTACTTCTTTATTTCTTAAGTTATTAAATTTACATACTGCCCATCTGAAGAGCACAGAATGGTTTGCAGCAAGTAAAGGTTATGCAGGCTCAAATATAAACAAGATTTTCTGTGTCCGTCCATCCCCACCCCCCTGCATTCGCATTATGGAGAAGGAAGTTAAAACAGCTGCATATAGCCATGTACAAGGCAAACAAATTAATCCACATGGTTTAAGTCTGTGGTTCCACGGTTGAAAACACCATTTGCTGTTTCTGCTGAAGAGGTTTCAATATTATATCCATCTTTGCAGTGTGATTTTTCCAGCTGACAGTAACTACTGTTATGAGGTTGTGAACCAGCACTGGAGGTGCCTATTCTCTTTTGCTGTACATTTTCTTATGTTTAGCTGTTGCCTCAGCTGGTAAGCTTCACACAAAAGCACCAAGTAAGAGCCACAACCCAACATATAAGAAGTCACACTAGACCAGGGGTCAGCAAACTTTTTCAGCAGGGGGCCGGTCCACTGTCCCTCAGACCTTGTGGGGGGCCAGACTATATATATATATTTGGGGGGGACGGATTCCTATGCCCCACAAATAACCCAGAGATGCATTTTAAATAAAAGCACACATTCTACTCATGTAAAAACACCAGGCAGGCCCCACAAATAACCCAGAGATGCATTTTAAATACAGTGGTACCTCAGGTTACATACACCTCAGGTTACATACGCTTCAGGTTACAGACTCCGCTAACGCAGAAATAGTACCTCGGGTTAAGAACTTTGCTTCAGCGTAAGAACAAAAATCGTGCTGCGGCAGTGCGGCAGCAGCAGGAGGCCCCATTAGCTAAAACGGTGCTTCAGGTTAAGAACAGTTTCAGGTTAAGAACCGACCTCCGGAACAAATTAAGTACTTAACCCAAGGTACCACTGTAAAAGGACACATTCTACTCGTGTAAAAACACTCTGATTCCCAGACCGTACATGGGCCAGAGTTAGAAGGCTATTGGGCCGGATCCAGCCCTCAGGCCTTAGTTTGCCTACCCATGCACTAGACCATGTTTTATTGTGACGGAAACAAGCTCACAGTGTGGGCAAAGCTGCTATGCCAGCTTCCAGGCAGGTGGGTCACTGTTGCTTATGGGGAGACGTTGGCATGGAACAATCCAGCGTAGCTGAAAGTGTTTTGGGAAAACAACCTGCAGGCCAAACTAGGATCCATGCCAGGCTTAATTGAGCCTGTGGGCTGCAGGCTCCCCACCCCTGCTGTATCGTATCAAGATAGAAACAGGTGTGAGATAGCAGCACCCTGATGTCCACTGATATCCCTAAGGTATATAGAAAAGCATCCTGACAAAGCTTCGTAAGTGGCAGGTTTAGGTAGCAATGTGTTCAGGGATGTGAACGACGAGAGATTTGGGAATTCAACTCTTTCCATGATCGGGGCCTTGAGCGAGCATCTGTAGATCTGTTTTCTTCAATAACTGCAGTACCAATCCTTTGAGAATGTAAAATTCTCTCCCAGGTACTCTCTTCCTAAGCGCAGCTCTGAGCAATTTCCCCTCCCCTAACCATGCATTAATTATTACGAGCCCATGCTATAGGAGTGCGCATGCACCAGCGCACCTCTGCAGCTTTGTTCGTTTCCCCTTTATTGCTATGTGGTTGTCAGGAAATGGGTGACGGCACACATTAATCCTGGATAAAAGCTTGAGTAGCTGCTTAGGGCCACTGCCTAAGCAAAAGTCATTTATTTCTTCTTCTTTTTTTATTAAAATTCTATACCACTCTTTGTCCAAAGATCACAGGGCAGTTTACAATATAAAAACACAAGAAAATCATGCCACAGTAACAAACAAAAGTTAGGTAGCCGTGTTGGTCTGACACAGTCGAAATAAATAAATTAGGCCAGTAGCACCTTAGAGACCAACTACGTTTGTTCTGGGTATAAGCTTTCGTGTATCTGAAGAAGTGTGCATGCACACGAAAACTAATACCTAGAACAAACTTAGCTGGTCTCTAAGGTGCTACTGGCCTATTTTTTTTATTTATTTAAACAAAACAGTAATAATAATAATATTTTATTATTTATACCCCGCGCATCTGACTAACACACCATAGATAGTTTAATTAGCCAAAGTTGTGGGAGAAGAGGAATATTTTTGCCAGGTGCCTAAAGATACATAAAGAAGGTGCCAGTCAAGTCTCCCTGGGATTTGTCGCCAATCTATAGCTGCTCCACCATACCCTCAATGATATATCTTCCTATAGGGTCATGATAATATAGCAATCATAGATTAATCTAAGAATGGTGCTGTTTTACTACAGCAACATGGTTAGTTGCTCACTTTATTTACACACTGGGCCAAGCTGTCTAGTAAAGCAGTGTTTTCTATACAGAAATTATAGACTTAAAGGCTATTTTCTAAAACATACATTTCCCCCACATCTTTTGAATGTTCTTTTTATGTTGCTGCTTTAAATCAACTTCATAAAAAAAATAAATTGCTGTAGTAATCAAGTAGAAAAGTACTCCAACAAGGATTTGTTTCAGACCAATACATATGCCCATTTCCTATCACTGTCTAGTTGTAGACGGATCGTAGCTGAGTTGTCAAAGTCAAGTGGATATAAATTGGTCACGTGGCAACGTTATCGCACTTACCAACAACTGTATCCGAAACAGCCGGCAACCATAGGGCTGGAGCCTGAAGAAGAAATCTAGGCGAAAAAAGGATGGAGTTGCCCAAATCAGAACTTGAATCAGGATGACACATTAACAGCACAATCCTATGCATGTTTTCCCATAAGTAAGCCCCACTATGCTCAGTACTCCTTACTCCCAGGAAAGTGGGTACAGGATTGCAGCCTAACTGCCCAGACTGCCCAAGGTTTATAGGTCAATGTCAGCAATCTAAATTTCATACTGGAAGTCAATACAGATCCAGACTCAGGCATAATAGAAAAGGAGAGCTTCTTGCTAAGAGAACAAGTTGCAGCAGTCCTTATGCTTACATGCTCCATAATACGTTTCTATTATGATTTGCGGCACTTACGATAGCGGCAGTTTTATTTTCAGTGTTTTTCCTAGTGATTCCTAGTATGGAATTTCCCTGTAGCAAGTAAATTTCCTGCAGCAAGTTAATTGCTGGGGGCGAAAAAACCTTGTGTGTTATTGCCATCTGCTGCAGAGCTCAGTCAGGAAGAGAAGGGTTAAAAAGGCAAGGGTGGGTGCAAAAGAGGCAAGAGGGTGCCCGTCCTATGAGGCATGTGCTTCCATGCATCTTCAACATGTTGCCTGGGCCTCTTTGGAGAAGCACAGGATTAAAATTTAAATAACTAAAAATAGCAGTTGCCTGCATTTGTTTAGAGGGATTTGGTTTTTCTCGCATTGAAATTTATGCAGATTAATCAATCAATGGAGGATATGATGGGCGGGGAAGGGCTGTGGCTGTGAAGGGTCATGTCTCGGTAATAAAGCATCTGCTTTGCATACTTTGCATGCTGATGGTTCCCAGGTTCCAGAAAGGGTAGTGAGACCCAGACTAACCACCCACCCCCCATTTAAAACCATATGGTCTGCATTTGTGACAAAATAATTTTTTGGAAATGGCAAGTAATTCCAGCATGAACGTTTGCTTAACTTGCTAAAGAAAGGAAGAAGAAATGTACCACCAAAAAGGGGCCATAAAAATATATATGTGTATGGTCATTTAGCTACATGGGTGGTCGTGTGCCCTATTTTGCAGAGGACAGTCCTCTATTTGAAGAGCTGCCAAGGGACAGTGGTCTTTCTGAAGGATAGGACTCTTATCTTAAAGGCTGGCAAATCTAAATCCTGTTTATGAAACAATAAGAAGGGAGAGCAGAAACCTAGAAGTTATCCACCAGCAGTTAGGACCTGGAATGCAGACACAGGCCATCTAGCTCCCCCCATTGTGGAGATATGCATTTCTATTTCTTATTTAGAGCTTATTTAGTGGTGCACAAATAAAAGTTAAAATTCACAAACAAATAAAACACACACACACAAATATCCATAAAATGCATCATCATTAAAACAGAGCTAGAAACCAAGCAAAAATCAATTTTAAATTGTTATTCTTTCTAAATTTCTATCTATGCAGATAAATGTACACACACCCATTTTAAAATGCCCCCCTTAAGGTGATACATTTCTTCTTATTTTTTTTTAGCAATGCAATAAATAGACAACCTAATTTGATCTTGAATATATGCATCCACTGTGGTCTTGTTTTCATGAGAGCAGAAGAGACAGGAACATGCAAAACATTTTAGAGACAGAATTATATGTGAACAGGATTTTCCAGACCTGCAGAGAACAGCTATAGAACCCAGGCAAACATGCTCTTCAAATTTAAATTGTTTATATCCTTTCTTACACACATCCTGCCTCTGTAGTTTTCGACTTGGAGCCAACCGTTAGCAAACGTCCTTTTCCCAACCTTCCAGAAAGTAGACACGTCATTCATTTTCCTGCCCTCTGCCTCTTCCGTTGACCAAACATGAGTTCCTTCCCCGTCGTTTCATATGCATGGCTCCCTGTGCTTTACTCTTTCCTACAGAGTATCACAGTCTCATGTTTTCCCACTGAGCTCAAAATGATTCTATGATCCATTCCCATCCAGATTTTGCTTCCCCTCAGCAATTTATTCAATCCAAAAGAAGGCATGTATGGCAGGAGCTGAACCAGACAAAACCGTGTCATTTTCCTGAAACCTGACTTAGGGTTGATATTACTATCTTTAAAAGCATTTAACCAAACATTGGAGAGCATATATTAGAGATACAAATGGCTTTTGAAGTGCATTGAGGGTGGAGATACTGAAAAATCACCAGCAGGAAACACCTTTACAAATACATGAGAATGCACTGGAATATTTTATTGACATGCAAGGCACCAAAGCCTACAGGGAATTTAGCAGGAGCCGAAGCAATCCTGAATGTACTGCTATGGTGATTCAGAAACTCTGTGGATTTTTATGGAGGTGAGGGATATGGGATACAAAATACAGATTGCACAATATACTAAACATCATCATCATCATCATCATTACCAGCCCATCCTACTTCATTTCAAAAGCCATTTGGAAGAATACGTATCTGCATTGTTTATGTTCTGAGAACTATGAAGCACTTTGCTGGATTGCAAGCAACCCACTATAGCTATATGGGTGAGATGATCTAACATTAGGCAAGAGCACTTCTCCTTCCTCTCCTCCCCACTGCAGCAGCACCACCCCAACTTGCTCCCGAGGGTCCCCAACCCTCCTGAGCATATGGGGGGGGATATGGGGAGCTGCTGGGAGGAAGACAGAAAAGTAAAGTTCTGCAAGTCCATTCCACTCATAGATGGACCCAGTTGGCTGTCAGCCATAGATAGATATGGGAAGTTCAAGGACTGCAAGCTGAACTAATGACTTCATGCGAGACATCTCTCTCAACCTCAGCCTTCCCACTACCCACCTGAAATCTGTACTGCTGGAAAACAATGCTGGGCATGGACTACTAAGATAATACGTGTCACACACACACACACACACACACACACACACACGTTCTTTGTGGAGACTGACGGGGGTCTGATGTTTCGTATAGATGGTGGTTCAGTCTCCCACAGTCATCTCAATTTATTTCAGCGGCCATTTGGAAGGGCATTGCTTTTCTGTTTAGCCATTTGAGGTTGGTCCTTAAAGACCACTGTGTAAACAGCCAGTCCACAATTGCCGTAATACATTCCCGTGGCTATTTGGAAATCCAGTGTACTCCCCATGGCCATTTAGAGGAAAATAATGCATTCCTATGGCCCATGCAGCATTGTTCATTTTTGTGTGCCAAAATGGCTGAAACGGAGGAAAGGATGGCTGGTAAGTCTTTTGGGTACGTGTTGGTGTATGTTCCAAATCTCATAGCAAAAGACAGCATTTTCCTCACTGTAACAGCCAGTCAGCATTCATGCTAAATATTCAAACGAGGGAGCACTTTTATCATTAAACAAAACACAAGGCACCACCACTGCCATGCAAATAACCCAACTCTTTTGGCATAGGAATTGCTGGCCGAAAACTTTTGATTATTTTCCTCAAAAAGGCAGTGTGAATTTAGTCTTCAGAAAGTGAGTGAGTGAGTCAGAGCGAGTGAGAACGAGAGAGAAAATACTCCTTTGATGCAAGGGAGGAATCAAAACCCACCATCCTGAAACATATTAGACTGAAGCAAGAGGGAATTCCAAGAGCTTTGTAAACCATCATTCACATCCTCTCCTGTGCAAAAGCTTAAAATAAATGGACATATAATAATATGCTAGGCAGTAAATTACTTTTTTAAAGTCCATGCATGAAATAAATTATGTTAATACAAGCATCAATGAACTGATGTGTAAAAGTTATCCCCAAAAATAAGTAATCAAAATTAATCACTTACAGATAATGAAATCATGAATCCCTGTACTGAAAAATACCGTTCAAATGAATTTGTTTTAGAAGCAACTTAATAAAAACAGAATGGGAAAATCTAGCTTTAGGAAATTTATCAAATATCGTTATTTTGGATTTAATGTTGTTCTATTATGTCGTTCTAAAACAGCTGTTATCAGCCATCCTCTAGAATAGATGTATTATATTTTTCTTTAATGAACTGGTAATCTTCAGAAAGAAGAGAAAATTAACATTGTACCTTTAAGATTGCTTTGCTATTTGCAGTAATGTAAACGTCCAATAGAATTATACTTTTAGTATTTCTATTAACCCAGTGAATCTGTTGTTGTTGATCGCGATCGATACATCAGCTTTAGTAGTATCGAAGTCAAGGACATGAAAAGAAAATGGCTACCATGCAGAAAAATAGCTTTGCAGTGAGATGTGCTTCAGTTAGAAGGAAAGAATCCATGTTTTCAAGAAGCTATATTAAATGTGTTGCAACGATTAACAATACCTTTTATCCTAGGTTTGGTTTTTACAGCTCCTATTATACGTGAGCTGCTTTTCATGAAATATTATAAATTTGAACTTGCATTAGTGTTACAGTAAATCACATATTAAATTATCCCCTCTCCCCTCTCCTTCTTTGTCACCTCACAACATTGGTTAAACTGACTGATTCTTTTAGGTTCTGTCTACTAAAATGTCTCTAATTACTGCTGAATGTAACAATGGAGAAAAGAGATTTAAACATAATTACAATTTTCAGCTGCTTACAATTTCAGCCATGTTCGTTCAATACTGAGATGAAATTAACTATTTTAAGAACACATACATGTCCTGCGTGTGTCTCACTAAGATGAACTATGGTTGTTTTTGTGAGAAAGACAGTTGCATTGCTTGAAACAGTCAATTCAAGATGAGAGAAAGGTTACTGTTACATGCAAACCTCCTATCATTTAATGCCTTATAGCTACCCAGAAATGCAGTATGAGATCATAATTTGCACTGTGGAATTAAACACTAATAACTGTCTTTGCATCTCTGCTACTGCATCCTTTAACAGGATTTGGTTGCCAAGGAAACCGGTTTTGGCCCAATGTTAACATGAAGCACCTATGTCCCAAAATATATCCAGTGTCACACCATGATGATTTAAAAATTAACTCACAGGTTAGCATATCTATACATGGCTGGTTTTAATTTGTTAACCCTTTGAAATAAGCCAGACTCAACAATTAATATTGAGTTCTAGATGAAAAGGACATCTTTAGGTGTTTCTCTCTTTTGACATAGCCAGCATCTTAAAAGAAAATAAACACTATAATGAAATACGTCCTTAACTTTATTTCCGCAATATTTATAAGATAAACGATAAGACAAATGTTTATAGCAAACGTTGACAGACCGCTTCCTAAGGCAAAATTAAAATTTTTTTTTTTAAAATTTCACAGCTCTGTCCACAACTTACAGTTTTGTATCTTAGCAAACAGCTTAATCATGTTCATAACTGGGATCAAAATCCTTTGGACGATAAGCTTTTAAAAAACGCCTTTGCTGCATAAGCGGTGCCACGCCCCGATTATCTAGTAGACGGGGTATTTCTAATTTCAAAATAGATGTATGCTTTTAAATAGGGAAACCCATGCAAAGTCACAACATTTAGAACTAGATCCTTTCGGGGGGGGGGATAACCTGGTTTAATAGATCTCTGTTATATTTCATTTCCTTGCATCATGAAACGAGAATAGGTAAAAGCATGCAAATCTCCACCTACCTGTGTATATGTCTTAATGAAGTCTTAGCACGCCATTGCACCCAGCCATTTGTATACAAAGTGAGGGAGAGACGCTGAAATCTTAGACGTCTCAAAAAAATAAAATAAATACCTCTTTTCAAAAAGCAGCTTGCTTGAATGGACTGTGATCAAGATAGCTGAACTTATCAATGGGAAGGACAGAAGTGTGTGCGTCTGTCAGGGAGGGAGGAGATGCCCTCATCCAAGGTGGTGGGTGGTTTTTTTTAAATAAGCTGCAGCAAAGGGCTTCCTGCTCACCCCCCCTTTCCCTTTTGAGGGTTCAAAGCTGACCACTGCAAAGGCCACTTGTCACATTTGTTGAAAATCAGCCTAGTGCTATCCCTGTCGAAAAGGAAAAACTCAGCAGCCAAAGCCCACTGCACAACACACGCAGACTGCGTAAGAGTTAAAAATAGATTGGACGTGCCTGCATAATAAATATGTCACTTCCAAGGGCTTTAAATTTGATATTGCCATTAATTAACAATACAACATCTATTATTTAAATAGCAGTAAAGGCAAGAGGAATAAGACTGACCCCACCTGGAAGCAGAGTTCGCTAAAAAATAAATAAATCCAAATTTAAAAATAAATAACTAGAGCTAATGCTGGTTTAGAATGCGACGATAAACCAACAGCCCACTACACTGAAAATGAAATTGAATGCTAAAGGTGGCTGCTTAAATAGTTATGCCCATCAGGAAGCCCAAGTCTTCACTACGACATGATATGGCACACAGACCATTTACATACTCCCATTCGAAATACTAGGCATGGCATAATGAATTCTGTATCCACAGCATGCAGACAGCACAAGCAACATTAATCCTGCCTGCCATTTTAGGCTTGCAGCAGCAGCATGATGCACACACTACAGCAGCACAGATCTGGTTAAACGGGAGGCAAGGAACCGCTCACCTTAAACGCAGTATCTGATTAATGTTGTTTAAGTGATATTGCAAATCGGCTGCTGAATCTTAGAGCAACTGGGTGGGAGGGAACAAAGAAAAAAATGTCATCAACTGATGATGCAAGCTGAATCGTTACTCTGCACTGCTCAATGAAGCTCCATGTTCTTCAATGATATAATCTCAAGTATTTCAGATTCTGTAGCAAAAAAACCCCCGAAACCTGTCTGCAGAGTGGCTGTCTCCATCTACCGAGAAAAGCAGAAGATTCCTTTCACTCGCTGGAGGGAGGGATGGAAAGAATATCTGCAGAAATATCTTATTGACGGAAGAAGATTTCATATAGTACGTATTAGGTCCTAGATATGTATCCCTATTGCTGTCTTTTTCTTAACCCATGTAATTTGCTTTTTGTTGTTGTTAAGCACGTAATTGCCAAGCATGTAACAGACGAAATCATCATTGCTTAAACTCTCATTCTGCACCGGATTATCGAAAAGCTGAGCGTATTGACAAAATCGCAAGCGCGCAGAGGGTCTGGCTGCAGAATCAGCTGTCTGCTTCTGTGTTGCTGCCTGCTTAACCACAAGCAAGGTTAGAGCTAAATATATCTGCAAGGCATAAACGGAAGCTATTTTGCTGTACAGATTACGTTACAAAATGCTCCATCCTTAAGAGCTCATAAGATGAGTGCCTATTAGAAAATGTTTTGCTGCTACCCTGCATCGCTCTACACATCAGGCAGTGAAAGACTATGGAGACTGCTCTTAAATCTAGTGACCTAAATAATGCTAAGATGGCTTAAGTAATATACATACATACTCAGCACCAAAGGCAGGAAATGAAACAAGGGGTGTCTCATCAGAATGCAAGTACAGTACCAATTCTAAATAAAATGCAGTGCCCTGTATATGCACATCTCATGCTAAGATGGAGAGGATGGGATGCTTATTCCTTTCATTTTTTGTTATTGTCAGGATAGGTTTTTTGTTTTTATCCTCAGAGGCTTTCCTTGGCTACGGCATCTGTGACATCTTGATTCCTGGCATCATGGAGGTTAACACAGGCACATCTTAACGGTCCAATTTTTAATTCTGCAAATCCAAATAAGCTTTTAAAGCAACAACATTGAATTAAATTCACCAAAACACTATACTTCAACACCTCTAAACAGGCACTGATGCTTTTGGTCTTGGTTCTTGAGTTTTGTTGTTAAGATCAATAACACGTTTCACTGCATGAATAAGACTGGTATTACTCTAGACCGAGTCTGTGAGAATTAGTGGGGGGTTTTTAATGAAATGAAATAGAAAATTTTGAAACAAGGGAAGCTTAAACTGCATTAAATATGTAAGATGGAAGGAGAGAAAGAATAAAAAGGTGGGTTGGTTCACTTTTTTTCTTTTTCGGTGCCTAGAATGTGAGAGGGTCTTCTGCTTCGTATTCAATGCCAGCATCTCCCCAAGGGGGGAAATTAGGGAGGGATAGAACAGCTGGCTACGGCCACTGCTGCAGTCCCTTAAGGCTGAAGTGTTAGTTAAAAGGAAAAACAAACATTTGAAACGTACCTGCCTGGCTATATAAGGACAAGATCCTTTCTTTCTACGGCATGCCACTTTTCTTTTAAGCAGGTCTTAACTCTCCCTCTCCTGTATGTGACACACAAAATTGAGAGCTGCTGAAATCTGGAAAAAACAGCTGAATATATTTCTGACCTTACTGGAAAATTCTCCTTGAATGTTATAGATCTGTTTAATGCTACATTAGCTCCTGATGTACCCACACTATTTATGGGAGATTAATTCAATAGGCAAACATGGTTTGGGTACATATTTCTGTAACGCCAAAATAAATGCTTAACAATAAATGCAGCCGCATCCTCAACACATTTATTCATGAGCTAGTCACGAGAGGTCATTGCTTGCAATCTATATTGTCAATTATGAACAATTGCCAATTAAATAACTGAAGACTGCCATGCAAATAAATATTTCATAGAATTCCAGCCAAAATGGTCCCACCTTCTCAGAACATCATTCCCGTTGTTTATGGCTCTTTTATAAGAGGAATAAATTTCTCTGCCTTTATTTTAATCCCCCTTAAGACTTTTTTTCCAGATTTTGTACATTGTGTCACTGGGTTTATTGCTTGAGATTCAAAAGACCTAAAAGCTGGCATTTAAAAAATGTGCTTCTCAAATGTATGACATCAGTCAAGCAGCGGCAGAAGCAACCCAGAGACAACAGAGGCCGGGCTCACGAACACACGTGACACAAACAGGCTATTACAAACTGTGTTCTTTCCCCCTTGACAGGCTTATTGCAGTATATTCAGCTAACATTTCAAAACTAGGGACTATATGCAAGGGCAGATTTTGCATCTAAAGAAGAAAAATAATGGCTGGCATATGGCTATGCTAATGTACGGTTTTACGCTATTGTCTGCTAGTAGCAGCAGCAGAATTCACATATTCACAGATTATGTATAATTACAATACCGGTTTTCATTTGGAAGGACTCTTTCTCCGCTTTTTTATTTTAATGAAAAGCCCTCTTGTACTATTGTGTGTAATGCCAAGGACAATTCAGTCAGTCTCCAGGTGATCAAGGCCCATATGAAACATCTGATGTTGTTCTGTATCAGACCCATGCAAGAATTCTCAAGTGCGAGAATTCATCATAACAATCCTCATATCCGTACCCCCATACTAAGACCATTTTTTTAAAAAAATAAAAACCCCCCGTTATTAATGGGGATGAATTAGTAAAGAGGGAGGGAGGGAAAGCATTGTGTAGTGTTTAGAGTTTTGGACTAGGGCTGGGGAGCTCTGGGTTCAAATCTGCACTTAGCCATGAAGCTCACTGAATGACTTTGGGCTGATTGTTATCTCCCAGTCTAATCGACTCACACAGTTTTTTCTAAGGAGCGGAGGGGGGTGGAGAGCACTATGGGAAGGAGGCTGGATAGGAGGAAGGAAAAGAGAGACCCTGGAGGGACAGAGTGATTTGCAGGGAGCCAAGCACCCGTACTTACCTAGGGGATAACTAGGCGCAATGGCTGTGGTTCTCAAGGTGCACGCTGTAGCCGTGACTCTTTTCCAACCAACTCAGGCAGGCAGGGGTGATGAAAGAATCCTGGAAAAGACATATGCAAAGGCCAGATTGGTAAGGCATAAGTCTTATAGCAAAGGGCTATTGTTGATTGATTCTGGAAGCCAAGAAGGGGATCATGCCCCTAGTTTACACTTCTGTTGATTCATTACATACCGAGTACTATTTTCATTAGTGCTGTAAACCGAAGGGAAATAAAACATGTACTGTTTTAAGGGTCCATCCTGTGTCGTTTGTGGTCATTGCTGGGAATATGGATGCTATGGGATCTGAGGTGCTCCTCCCCCCATCCCAGAACCCATGACATTATGCATTATCAAATCTGCCTCTTAATCAAATATTTCAGTTCATCTTTTCTTTTTGCTATACAGCACATAAAATTAACATGGTGGTATTATTATTTTTAAAAGTTTATTTACACAAAACATTATTATTTTTATTTCATAAAGATTATATGCCACTTGATTTTAAATAAAGCAGTTTACAGAAAGAATATGTCAAGCATGCTAAAACAGCAAAGAAGATGCCCTTCTTTGTCTGGTCCTGGTTTGAGGTTGACAGGGGAAAGCTGACATCAGCAGAAGCATTTCTTGGTAATGGTAGATCACATTCAGCTAGGAAGGGCCACATCCCACAAGGCAAAGCCTGTCAGGACCCTAGACAGAACACTCTGGTGAGGACCACCTAAATTGAGAGCTCTTGCAGGTGCCTTGACAAAGCTGGCTGGTTTGGTCCTGCCGTTGGTGGCAACGAGGTGGCTGTGTTTTTAAAGCAGGGTTTCTCAAACTTGGGTCTGTGGATGTTGTTGGACTACAACTCCCACCATCCCTGAACACTGGTCTTGCTAGCTAGGGATGATGGGAGCTGTAGTCCAACAACAGCTGGGGACCAAAGCTGTCAACGTTTCCCTTTTTTTAAGGGAAATTCCCTTATTCCGAATTGGTTCCTCACAAGAAAAGGGAAAAGTTGACAGCTATGCTGGGGACCCAAGTTTGAGGAACTGAACTTCTGATTCTGCAGAAGTTGGCTCTTACTGTGTGGGGGTGATGGGGAATGCAATAGAAACCTGGTGAGTTTGGAAAGCCAACTTATCTTCTGACCAAGAAGGTCCTGCAGTGTGGAATGTCAACTCTCTGAGGGGCACCTTCTCCTGATCATCGTCCTCCTCAAAGTTCAAGGGAGGACTGAGGTCAGAGAACACGGCACTGCCAAAACCAGCCCCTGCCCTAGAAGTGAGCTGTCATTGGCACCAACACACAAGGCTCTACTTCCAGGCCCCTACATAGGCCACAAACCAGTTCCTTTCCCAATTGTAGGAACTGCCTGTCCTACTTTTGACCCAGTCGTCTCATGAAAGGATATTAAACTTCTAAGTTTTGTTGCACACCTCACACAACCTTACCGGAAGATGAAGGACACTACCAAAGAGATGTTTACCACGTGCAGGCTCACTGATTACCTCAGAAGCAACACCAGATTTGCAATGCTTTACAGAGGAAAACACCAGTAGCCACTTATATCTCAGTACTGGCAACGAAGTGAATGAGACTGTGTAGATAAAGAGGGCTGATGGAACATCTTCAAAATCTATGGGTGCTTCCAGACGTTCTGTTTATGCTAGATGACGTTGCGTCAAAGCAAGTGTTACCCAGCCCTTACCATATTTCCATCACTTTCCATCTCTCAAAAAGCCCAGTCTTTGGGGGAAGTGAGCATGTAGTGCAACGCCTCCCAGTCAACTATAATTGAACAAACTTAAACTTTCTGATTTTTGAGGCGCAAAAGGGCTGTAGGGGAGACTGACAAAATCACACACCCTCTTCCACTAGTAGAATTCTGTGACCAGATCTTCACGTTGGTAAAATTCCTGCTGGTAGAAGCTTATTTGGGATTTAAGCCATTAGCCTTATTCAGCTTTTTTCTTGGCTCCATTGTTGAACAGTTAAGGAGGAGATAGGCCATGCAGAATACCCTATTCCAACACTGCAAACTCTTCCCTCGACATCTGTGCACACAACACAAATATCTGAAGCAAGTGGGCCTTCACACATTTAGTTACACACATGAAGGCATCCCCTAGAATCATAGAATAGTAGAGTTGGAAGGGATCAGCAGGATCATCAAGTCCAATCCCCTGCAATGCAGGATTTTTTTTGCCAGTGGGTCTCGAACCCACAACCCTGAGATTAAGAGTTTCATGCTCTACCAACTGAGCCATCCCTCAGGAATTAAATATAACCTGATCGTTCAGGGGTGAGATTCCAGGGAAGCCTCCACATGTACATAAGCACAAAGGCCCATCACTACAGATGTTCATGCTGAATGAGCGAATGTCAGGTAAGGATTGGGCAACACTAGGGGTGAGACTTCTCAGCGTAGCCCACCTTCTTGTTTCTATATTGTTCAATGCAGGAATGAAGAAGACCCATACATAGCTAACATATTTTAGGAAGATGCATCCTTGGGCAAAATGAGTACAGCACCTTCTTCTCATGCTGCCACTTTCCGCAAGGGTGAAAACAATGTTAAGTTTGGGCCTAACCATCACAGCCCCAGTTGCTTGCACCCTAGACAGAAAGGTGAGGTGGTAGCTTTCCAGCTTTTTTCCGTCTTCTCCTCTGCCTTTTCAAAGCAATCTAATAAAATATTATAATCCAGCCTGATTTCTCCTAGGTATTAACATACTCATTAAAATAAACCTCGCACTTCTTGGGAGGTTCTGCCACACAGAATATGCTGCTGCGAGTAGAGCAGACGTAATGAAACTCGTGCGGCAGGCCTGGAGGTTGACAGCTACAGAAAAGACATTCGACGCACCTGTCAAGATACGTGGGTTTTCAGAACACAAGTCACAGACGGAAGGCCCCAGCAGCATCTTGTTCAAAACGATACTTGGCAGCTTAAATTACCTTTTAAAAGACAGAACTGAAATTCACACTTGAAGATTTCCAATTCTCTGACACATATATACTTTCGTATACCGTAGGTCTTCCAGCAACATTACCAACATAACACCGCCAAGAACAAATCCATCTCTTGGGCTAGCAGAAGTAGTTTGCACTTTGAAATCTGTTCTATCTGTTGATCAATGCAATAGCTGTTCCTTTTTAATGCTCCTTGCATGCTCAATTAATGTGTGTACAGGTGTGTGCGTATGTGGCTGGGGGTGAGGGGTGAGGGGAGAGACCAGGCCTCCTTCCATCCTATACACATTCATAAGAAAATCTACAGAGGAAAGTTCCACGTTAGGGGAGGGGGGCTTCTACAAGGGTTCATTTGAACTTGTGTGGATTGTGGCAGAGTCTGAGCTGTGCTGCACTCACATGTTCAATGAATGCATGAACAATGTCTGCAAGGAGCAAGTGCCGAATGGTCAGGAGACAATTGTATCATGAGAGACAAAAGTCGGAGGACAGATTTCAGCCCAACACTAGTCCAAACAGCAGCAAATTAAAACCCCAAGAAGCACAGCTTATCAGAAACGAAACATTGCCGCCCAGCGACAAATCGTAAGGTCAGTCCAGGCCCACCCTCACAGACCCAGAAGGAATGAGCCAAAAAGAGAGGAAGGGAGGAAGGGTCTTTGCAGCACTCACAACTGAATCGTCCCCACATAATTTACATCACTTCTCCCGTATCTCATTCATACAATGCCTGCTCGCTATTTCTTCTGAATGTGTATCCTGTACAATAGTACACCCTGTACAATCAACTTTTTAAAAAGCCTAGTATTTACTATGAGCTTGAGCAAACCGTTTCGGCACAGCTCTTCCCACGCTGACCTGTCCCTGCAGAAGCAAGAGCAGCAGGCAAGGCGACTGTGGGCCGTCACTCTGAGGCCCAAGGCCCAGCTGTTCTGCATCCGGTGCACAAACTCTGCTCGCAGCCTCCTCTCATCGCTGCTGTGCAGTGTTTCTGAGCCTCCTGGTGTTCAAATAGGGGACTTGCAGTTTCTACAGCAAGCATGTAAAAAGCCCAGATGAGCTGGAGGGCCAGATTCTTAAGAAATAGTCGCTCCGGAATCTCGCCCATAATTTCCCCCCCAATTCCTCCTTCATTTTATGAATGTTGTTCATTTTAGGAACATCAGCTGGCTACATAACACACACCGCTCACTGCAAGTGTTTCACTTCCTCAGATAAATCTCACGCATGGAAAACACACTCTGGGAGCAGAGGGGAAACACTAGGACTTGCTGGGAGATTGCTTTGGCACATGAAGTAGTGTGAATGACAGGCTGGGGCCATTTCAGCTGTGGATTTACATATGAGTAAGTATGCCAGCTTACTCCTCATGCCTCCTTGGCCCTCAAAATTATAGAACAGTGTGGATTGCTGTGGGCTGTGTCCAGGGGCCATGGAAGCCTGACGGCCTTATTGCTTGAGATCCCAGAACTACAGGAGCTTTGAAACTGCCTAATGGTACCAGCTGATAGGGCATCCCACTGCTGTGTTGCCACAGCAGTGGCGGACTTTAGGATCTCAAACCTCAGTGCCACCCTGGTTGATGCTAAAATTCAGCGCTCCCCCCTGCCCCCACTTCTCATGCTCCATTCCACAGTGCTCTAAGAATTCTAAGGTCTCAAATATAAAATAAATGTTCATAAATGTACAAGGCAAACACATACATAACTACATAAACGTGTCTAAAAGAGTACAGGAGAGCAATCCTGAAGCCATTCTGACTCTCCCAGTGACCCCAGATATTCCTCTGCAGTAAGGGGTGAGGGGTGGGGAAAGCCTTCCCATTGTCTTTTTGCTTACAAATCCTGTCTTAAAGGGTGTGTTTGTTTGTGTGTATGAATAGAGTAAACCTGTGACCTGGATTCAGGAACTGAAGTATTTACCATCACAAAAGAATGGCCAAGCTGCCCAGGCAAAGCAATCAGTGACCATTATGAGGTATCCTGGCAGACAGGATTTCTGCTGTATACTGCCTCCTGTGATGTATTTCTGCTGTAGACCACCTCCTTTTGTGATGTATGTATGATGCCTTGTGGGGTGGGCAATTTCAAAAGTCTATATAAGGGCTTGTACACCATCATTCTGGGTTCTCTCCTCCCTCCTGCGTGTGGGGAGTGGGGACCCTCCCAAATAAAGATCAGGCTTACTAGCTGCTTTGCTTCTCAGTATACCCTGGTTGGCCTCTGCTATTTTCTCCTCCCAATAGGGAACCCACTTAAGAGCTCTTGGATACCCCATAAGGGAAAAGAAGCAGGTTTTTCTTATAACAACAGCATTGTTTGGGCGGTCCCTGCAGTGTGGCACCCGGTGCGACCATACTGGTCATACTACCCTAAAAACACCTCTGCCAACAGTTCATCAGGACACCATGGTCACTTCTCATTCTGTAATGAACATTATTTCAATAAGCATCTGACCGGGTTGCAGATCTAGGAAAAGGGTGTGGAACTTGTGTGGCCCTCCTAATGTTGTGGGACTCCCATCAGCCCCAGCCAGCAGGGCCAATGGCCAGGGAAGATAGGAATTGTTAACCAACAGCCAGTGGCGGTCAGTGGGGCAGAGCAGCCAAGCATCACCGCCAGTCACCAACAGGTCACTGTGTGGAGCAGATGCCATGATGGAGTCAATCTGTCACTCCCACTGGTGCACCTTCCCTGCACCGAGGTCCTCTGGTTCTCCCTCTCAGTTACTGGCCACAATGCTCATCATTAGGAAGTGAGATGAGCAACACCTCCCTGCTTTCACAACCCTACCAAATGCTACTGCCAAGAGTAGGGGTCGGCAAACTAAGGTCTGGGGCTGGATGCGGCCCACCAGGCTCGTTAATCTGGCCCACAAACCTTGCAGACCCTTGGTCAGTCCCGTGCTAAACTGGCGCGGTGCGGAGGCCCTGCCACGCGGCAATTGACTTCTGCGATGCTGGCGCGGCTTCGGATTGGCTGCAGAAAGCTCCTGCAGCCAATCCAAAGCTGCGGATGCCTCTGGGCGGGTGGCGACGCCGGCTCAGATTCGGATTCGCCACAGGAAGCTCCTTCAGCTAATCCGAAGCCATGGACTCCTCTGGGCGACTCCCCTTCCTTCCTGCTAAGTGGCCACATATGGCCAAGAGCCGAGCGGGAGGAAGTGGTGGTGATGGGGAGGCTGCCTCCGTCGCCCAGGCCAGCGGCATGGGCTCTGCACCCCCGTGGACCCCTGGCCGAGGCAGAGGACGATGACACCAAAGACATCTGCAAGCCCCTAATGAGCACATTTATTTCTTTATGGGGGAAAACCCTATTTACTGCCCATTAATACAATATAACATGGCTGTGTACAGCAGTATATAGAATAAAATGTAAGGCACCGTAAAAAAACAGTTCAAAAATATTGAAATGATTGGCTGATGAAATTGTAAACAGTGGCTTGTCTGCATTAAAAAGTTTTCAAGGGACGCCTGAAAGTAAAAAGTGAGGATGCCTGTTCTGAACCGCAGGCCCAAAGGAGTGCTTGTGGGAGTGGCTGGGTGCAGGAAAACGAAAGGATATCAAGAATGCCAGAGTGATCAGTTCTACTGCTTTATAAAATAAAGGTACAGACTTGCAGCAAAGCAGCCTGCCTGGTCTCCCAGCCTTTGCAGAAGCGGGATGGACACCACAGCACAGAGAAGGCTTGTCTGCGCCCAAGCAAACATTCATATATTCTTTATACGCAAAACAGTATACGTCACTTTGTCCAGGACTTCCCATCACTTCACTTGACCAGATGAGGGCATAGGTGGCAAATATCCAAATCTTACAGATAGTTCCCCTTTCTGGGCTTAGAGCCCAGCAGCCCAAGCCCACAGATAAGGATGACATCAAAGCAAACCAATTAGCTTATATCAAAGCAAGTGAATGTAAACATATATCAACTAACAATTAACAACTATCAATTAATGGTGGGGTTATCTTTTAAATAACTATCAATTAACTATCAATTAATTAATTAACTATCAATTAATGGTGGGGTTATCTTGACTACCAAGATGGTGTTTGCAGAGCTTCTGGTTCAATACAGTGCCTACCAAATTCCTGCTGGAAGAGTGCTCCGTAGCACAGGACCAAAGCACATCCATTCAAAGCACATTACTTGCCTCAAAGCATCCTGGGAAATACAGTTTGTCAGGGATGCTGGGAATTGTAGTACTAAGAGAGGAAACTTTTGGGGTGCAAGTGTGTGCTTTCATTGTAGGGTGTGTATCTGTCCTTCTAGCAGAGGCCAGTTGGGCCTCTGTAACATGGGGAACTGCTAACAGCACCTGTCCAGATGATCTCGCTTTGAATATACATGTGGCGAACCTCACGCCCAGAGGCCAAACACAGCCCTCCAGTGTCTTTACCTGTTTGGAATATGCCAATGAACCGTGAATGGCTCTTGCTGAAGATGTAGATGTGAAAGCAGATAGAAACCTTATTTCTGCATGGTTGGAATGTAGCTGACTGTAGAAAGATAAGCATTACAGCCATTGCTCCACCCACTTTTGGCTGTGGCCCCTCCCACCACAGGCACGTGGTCACCAGAAGGTTCCCCACAAGGGAATGTGCCCTTCAGGCTGAAAAAAGTTCCTCACCCCTGTTTTAATGCATGAGGGAAAGGTAGATCTAGACAGCCGAAAGACCATCTCACCAGAAAGACTGTCTCACCTCTTCTATAGCCAGTCCATCAATGTGTCCTGCAGGTGAGGGCCTACTGCAGATAACATCTTCTCAGGAGGTCGGTTCTATACCATATAGGAATTGGGCCTTTATTGTCATGGCATCTGTTATGTACTAAGCTTAGATCCTAGATCAATAGGGAAGTAGGATCCTAGAATGCAACAACTGATTGGCCTGCAGGAAAAGACCAATCAGGCTCCAGGAGGGAAGCAGAATCAGCCAATCAGATGGGACTCATT